CGAATTAATTGAATGGACGAGCGACCACACAGCCCCAGCCCCGGCTGTGGGGAGTGCAGGTGGGCAGACTCCGGGACAGATTCATCGCCGGACCCGGAGGACGGACACCGGGAAAGGTCCCCGACGCAAAGGGAAAGGGCGCGGAGACCACAAACACAACTGGAAACCGATAAGTTTTGTGTGGAGTCTCTCTGTCACGTTCCTGTCAGGATAGGCGGCTGGAGCCTGGGGGAGGTGCCCTGGGGGCTGGCCAGGTCGGAGCCCCCCTCGGGGAAGTAGGATTTCAGGAACCAATCGGCTGGCAGGATAAGAGCAGCTCCTGGCAGGCCCTGGCCCCCGTCCCGGGCACTTCGGATGCCACTGGACCAGGACTGGCCGAGGGGCCCAGGTCGGGAAGGGACGAAGGGAGGACCTGTGGGTTCTCCATCCGGCAGCACACCTGAGACCTTCACGGTCACTCGTGTCCGAGAGCCGTGTCCGGCTGGGTCCTGGAGCCGCCTTACCGAGCATTTACATTTTGTCGTATTTGCTTCTGACTTCTGTCTGAAGAAATAAAACATGGGTTCCTGGAAGCCCTATCCCTGTGGAGCCTGTCCTGTCCTTTGCTTCCTGAGTAACCGTGACCCTGAGGGGCGGGTCCCTCTGGTCCTCGTCAGCCACTCGAGCACCTGGTATGTGCCAGGCGCTGTGCTAGGCAGTGGGGAGAGGGCAGCGACTCCAACAGCCAGAATCTCCTGCCTTCACGTAGCTCCCACTCATCTGTGTGCGAGGCCACAGGCAGATCTCAGGGCGTGTCCTCAGACGGCAGGAAGGGACGGATCCTGCTGCAGCTGGCTCTTCAGGCAACTTCTTTTTCAGGACGTGGTCCCGCTGAGAGCTGCCTTAGTACCCGGCCCCCGCACAGCCCGTGTCCACACGCAGCTGGCTGTGCTGCTGCCTCCATGCTGCTGTTGCCCGTGTTGTGGTGCACTTGTCTGCACTGTCCTCATGTCCCATGTGCGTTTCTTGTCATACTCAGCTTTGCAGGACGCCACCCTGCGGTCAGCCTTCTGGCGACAGTCGTCCATCGCACTGACCAACTTTCTGGCGGCAGAGGCAGGGCCTCGAGGGGTTGACCGGTGGGGCAGCACGGGGTGATAGCAAGGTGTGGAGCCAGGGGGGCTTAGGCCACTGCGCCGGGGTGGGGGGTGGGGTGGGCTCTCACTGCCGGGCTGGGAGGGGGTGGGGTGGGAGTCGGGGAGCAGGGAGAGGGGAGTGGGGCCTGGGGGTATGGGGTGCCCCCCTCACTGCGGGCTTCAGTCCTGTGGCTCAGTAGCAGTGACCAGCAGGTGGGAAGCAGTCAGAGGGCTGGCCTGGATGCGGACCCCGGGGCCTGGTGAGAGCCTCCCCTGGGGTGGGCACTGCCCCTCTCTGGCCTCAGGCTCCTCCCCCAAGTCCAGCGTGGGCCAGGGGCCTCTGAGGTCCTGCCACCGCCGTGTGCTCAGCTGTTCTCGGCAGGTGGCTGTGGCTTCCTGCCTGGCCCTGAATGGGAGCACTGGCTTGGCAGGCGGCAGCATGAAGCTGGCACATGGCAGCTGGGTGCTCGCCAGGGGGCTGGGTGCCTGGCGTGTAGCGTGAGGGGCTTGCCAAGGGGGACCCAGACTCCTCCCTGCCCCCTCCTGTGATCCTGAGCTGGAGCCGGGACGGGGGAGGGTCCCAGCCCTGCCGGAGCAGGGAGTGGCTTGGGTTTGATGTGACCACATTTACTATCCAGCGGACCCACGGATTCTTACTTTCCCCAACGGGAGACCAGGAGCAGAGAGAAGGCTGTGGAGAAGCCCCTCCTCGGAGCAGAGGTTGGGAGGGTGCTGAGGGTGTTGGCCACGGTCTCCATGGTGACGGAGCATGCTGCGGGGGCTGACAGGCTGGTGTGTGCCTCGGTCTTTCAGGGCGGGAGGCGCTGCAGATGGGGGTTAGCGACCCCATAGCCCAGGCTTCCCTTCCCCTGGGGCTCTCACAGGCTGGGTGCAGGCCCCGGCCTCTGTGTGAGCTGCCAGGCGCCTGAGTTCCTCTGAGCCTCCCCTCCTCATCTTAGGCCGGGGCTGTTAGCACCTGCCCGGGTGTGCGAGGATTCAGGGAGTGCCAGCATGCACGGGGCCTCTGGGCCACTCCAGGCCCCTCTGGCTGTGGAAGGGGGAGGGGGCCAGGAGGGCAGCTGAGGCAGATGCGGGGCCACCCACTCCTGGGAGCTGTGTCACCCCCGTGTGCCGGCTCTGGGGTCCCCTGAGCAGCCGTGCTGACCATTGGGCAGCAATGCAAAGGGGCTCCGTTGGCACTGGGCCTCTCACCCCGGGCAGGTGCTGTGCCCAGACACGCCCAGGCTCACGGCCCCCAGGTGTCCCCCTGACTCCACACCCAACCTCTTGGTCACGACACAGGGGACAGGCTGAAGGGGTGGCTGAGGGAGACAGGCGGCCTGTCGCCAACCCCTGCTCTGCCTGTGACTGTGTGACCTCGGGGAGCCGCTGAGCCTCTCTGTGTCTCAGTTTCCTCTTCTGTACATTGGAGCTACGCTGACGAGGCCGCCCTCAATGAGTAATGTAACATCTGCAGAGGAATATTCAATGTGGGTTTGATGCCCCATAGTTCACTGAGCTCTGCATAACCCCCCAAACTCCCCTCCAACTCCCCTGTGACCCCTGACGCCCCAACCCCGTGACCCCTCCGCCTGGTAGCTCAGGCCATGCTCTCATCTCAAGTGCCGGTGATGCACATTCTCGCTGACAGAGCTGTGATCACCCAGTTCTTCCTTCCCAGCAAAACGAAGCCGGCACTGCCCAGAGAGTTTCTCCCTGTTGGGAACATTTGACTCCATCCTGCCTCCCTCCCCGGGCCCTGGCCCCCCCCTCCCGCAGCCAGGTGGCTCCCCTCACCCCCCCAGCCTCCCCCTCTCGTCCATCTGTCTCCCCAGATGGGGCAGAACTGTTGCAGTTGGCCCACTTTCTGACTGCAAAGCCACCATATGGAGGCTTAGCCGGAGCTGTGCCCGCCTGGCTGCCATTAGCGCCGGGCAGCGCTGTGGGCAGCGGCCCGGCCCTGCGGCTCTCCCTGTGCCCAGGACTGAGGGCCCGGGCCTGCCAAGGACCCTCTTTCCTTCTCTCCTCCCTCCCCAGGAGCTCCTGACGTGGCGATGGGAGCTCTTTGGGTGTCTGAGGAGAGGAGGGGCTTGGTCTGCCTGGGAGGCAGAAAGGGAGTGGGTGCTGGGCAGGTGGGGCAGGGGCGTGGCTGCTTGCCTGCTGCAGAGGGGCAGGGTGCCCTTCCTGGGGGCAGGGCTGTGACAGTGTGTGTGGCGTGGGCCCAGGCCCGGCGGGCACCTGGCGCGGAGCGGCCCCCTCTGCTCCCTGTTCCTTCTTCTCGCCAAGGTGCCCCCCTGGTTGCTTACGCCTCCTCAGCTCAGGGTCACCGCCGCTGGGCAGCCTTCCCTGGTTACCACCTCTGTCCGTGGGTAGACTCTCTTCTTGGGTGGAGCTGGGTGTTGGCACCTTTCCCTGGGGCGTCGGGTGGGTGTCCCCTGCACAGGGAGCCCCTGGCCGCCCAGGCCTGGGCACACAGGTGCAGGGAGCCTGTGCCGAGGCCTCCGGTCGCCCCACCTGGACCGGGAGGCCATCGGAGGCCCGGGCGCCCAGCCACGTGGATGGCCTGAGGCACTGGCTGGGCCCCGAAGGCTCCTGTTTGGGGTGGAGCTGGGCCAGGACCCCTGAGGGGGCTCAGAGGTGGTGATGGTCTTAGTAAAGGGCCTGGCTTCATTCAGAACAATCCCTTACGCTTTTCCATCAACGAGCCTGACTCTGCCCCAGAGGCCCAGGGGGTCTTATTCCCTGGAGGGGAAACCCCTCTGTACCCCAGCCCGGGGGGTGGGAGGGGAGGGGAAGGGGGACTCTGCAGCTTTGAGCCAGCCGCTTCTCTTCTCTGAGCCTCTGTCCTTGCTGTCAAATGCGGTGATGACAGAAGCACAGGCCCACAGTGCTTTTGTACGAGGACATTGGGGATTTAAATGTGTGGTAATACCCGTCCTCGCCAGCGCTGGGGCAGTCTGGGCTGGGAACCAGCTGGGTGAGGGGCACCGGGATTCTGTGAGCCGCCAGCCTGGGTGTTCCTGCTTCTGCAGAGGAGTGAGCAAGAGGCAGGTGGCCCTGGTCCCCTCCCCTAGTCCCACCCCGGCAGGCCATGGGGCAGAGTGACAGGAGGCTCCCAAAGATCCCTGACCCCAGCCACCCCCTGTCTGTGCAGCACCCCCCCTGCAGCACCGCCCCGCAAGCTGTCCCAGGCTCATAGAGGCTGTGTGTGCAGGCACGGCCAGGCCGGAGGTGGAGGCCGCGCACTCAGAAAGGAGCCTGGGGCCTGGAGGACACGGAGCTGTGTTTGTGGCAGTGCTGTCCGGGTGTGGCACCAGCCAGCGGCCTTGCACACTGCTTTCCCGGGGCTGCTGGTGGGCACAGGCGTGGGACAGAGGCTGGGAGGTGGGTGTGGGTGTGAGGGGCGCTGATGGCCCACAGTGGGCGCTTTGCTCTCAGTCTCAGATTCTATCCTAAAAACCCTTTCGGTGTGGTTCCAACAGAGCAGCCAGCATCTACTCAGCACTTAACTCTGTGCCAGGTATGATTATATTTGCACACATTAGCTCAGCCTTACAACAACCCTGTGAAGTAGTGGTGTTCTTGTCTCGTGTTTGAGGCTCAGAGAGGTTCGGTAACGCCCTCAGGTCACACAGTAGTAAGCAGCAGAGCCCAGATGTGAATCCAGGCAGATTAGCTCCTAAACACAAAGCCGCATTGCCTCTGCCTACTTTATAATGAGGAAACTGAGGCACAGAGGACATAGGTGACAAGTCAGGGTTACCCAGCTGGTGGGTATTGGAACTTGGGCGCTCCTGCCTGGTTCTCCTGGAGGGAGTGTGAGTTGGGCAGAGGGGAGAGACCCCAGCTCCCCTGTCCGCCCCTGCTGACTGGCCCATCCCGCAGGCGGCGTCTGCATCGCCCAGTCGGTGAAGATTCCGCGGGAGCCCAAGCCCGGGGAGTTTGACAAGATCATCCGGCGCCTCCTGGAGACCTCCAACGCCAGGGGCGTCATCATCTTCGCCAACGAGGACGACATCAGGTGAGGGGGCAGCAGGGCGGGTGGGAGCCAGGGAGCCCTGCTGTGACCTTCCCACACAAGGCTGACCCAGAGCGGGGTCCAGAGGGCAGGGTGGTGAGTGAGTGCGGGGCTGGGACGCCCCTCAGGCCACAGGCTAGTGCTAGAGGGCGCCCTGTTCTCCCTTGTCCCCGTGTCCTGTCCGTTCTACCCGCCAGGGGTGGGAGGCAGGTTCTGTAACGGAGGGGCTGCGGCCCTGGGGTTAGGGCCAGAGCACCTTCGTGCTCACCTGCTCTCTCTCCTGCCGGCTCTGAGGCCCCAGGCGAGGTTTCCAACCTCCCTGGGCCCCTCATCTGCTTAGAAAGAGGGGCCTAAGGATGTCTGCCTGGTGGGGATGGCACAAAGGGCTAAGCGTGGCCTGGCACAGAGCAGGTGGCCACTTCTCAGCTCCTCCCTCCTTTCGTGGTGAGCTCAGGGTAGCGGGGAAGGACCTGGCTGTGGTTCTAGTTCTGGCCTGGGGACACTCACTGTGGGCTGTGTTGTCCCCTCCCTGGGCCTCAGTTTTTGCATCTGGAGAATGGGAACAGCAACCCTAGGCCAGCCTTTTTCCTGTTACCTCCTCTCAGAGACTGGACCTCAGGACCAGTCTGAGGGGAGACACAGCCCTGCCCTGGGGGAGCCCGTCAGAGGGAGGCCACAGCCCCGGCTCAGAGTCTGCTGGGGGAGACACGCCCTTGCATTTGCAAAGGCTGGTGGGACAGCAGCCCTGGGCCCCCCCAGGCCCTGCCCTAGGGTGCTGGCTGAGCTGCTGTGCGGCAGGCTCCCCTGCCTTCTGGCCTCTCCTACCCTCCCTCCCTTCCTCCCTCCCTCCCTCCCTTCCCCCCAATGCTTGCTAACAAGCGTTCTCTCTGGGCCATTCTTTGCAATGCTTTCCCACATGGTGAGGAGCCACTGGCCTGAATGGCAGGAAGCAGATCCCCCCGTAGACATGCCGGGTCCCTAAGTTCTGGAACAGCATTCAGGCCTCAGAACGAAGGACATCTCGGGAGGCACCTCTGGCGGTGAAGGGCCAGGGGTTCCTAGGAGCTCCCCTGACGCCTCTGAGTGAGCACAGAGCTTGCTCATGACCCTCAAAGCGCGCAGGTGTCTTAGTTCGGCTCTGGCGGTTCCTGCTGCCCTCGGTCAGCCAGTCTGGGGGCAGGGACGGGGTGGGGGGACGGGAGGGGACCCCGTCTGAGCTCCTTGTCCTCACTTCAGTCACAGCCCCTGCGCTCCTGCCTCCCCCTTCCGCCCCGCAGCCCAGCACTAGCCAGGGCTCACACCCACCGGAGAGGCCCTCCGGCTCCTCTCAGCTCCGATGGGCCGGGCTGGGAGGGCGGGGGAGGGCGCTGGGCCCTGTACCCCAGAAAAGGCCCTGGGGGAGGGGACGTGTGGAAGGAGGGGGGGCATTTCTGGAAATCCACATGCATTTCTGAAAGCAAACAGCAGTGAAAATAACCCAGGTGACTTTGCAGGGCGGAGGTCGGCCATTCTGGCTGGCAGGATGCGCGGGTGCTAACAACCGGAGCGGCAGCAGCGGGCTTGGGGTCTGCACATGTGCACTTCAGGGGCTGGGAGGAGGGACGGCGTGGGCTCTGGGGCCTGCAGACAGGTTTCTCTCCAGCTGTCCTTCCCAGGAGGTCGCCCAGTACAGGCCCAGCAGCACCCAAGCCTGGGGCTGGGCCTGGCTCTCACCCTGAGGGGCCTGGCCAGTGTCTGGCATCCTGGCCCCTGACTTGCTGTGTGATCTGGAGCAAGGTGCTTGCCTCCTCTGAGCTCCAGTGGAGGAGCGGGTTGGGGGACTCCTCCCGGCCTCCCTGTTCTTCTCCTGGAACAGGTGTTTGAGGGGCCACTTAGACAGGGTCTCCGCCCTGTGCTGGGTTCGGGGACCCTGACTTGGTTAAAACCACTGCCAGGGCAAGCACAGTCGGGGGGGTGGGCAAAGAGAGCAGCTCTGTGCAGGGCCTGGACTCTGGCACAGAAGGAGGGGGTGACGGGGCACTGCTGGCAGGCAGCAGCAGGTGCAGAGGGGTGTATGTGTGCATGCCTGTGCATGTATGCCTGTGTGCATGTGTGTGCATGTATGTGCATGTGTATGCATGGAAATGTGAGAAGCGGTCAAGAGATGTGGGTGTGGGTTTAGGGTGAGGGTGGCTTGGACCTGAGAGGTCTGGGCGCCTGGGTCAGACACGGGGCAGGCACATGCTAGGGAAACAGCCTGGATTTGCAGGGACAGGTCGGCCCTCGGGGACAGGAGTGGGACTGGGGAGCTCATGGGGCCTGCAGGAGGTGTGGGCCGAGGGGAGAGGCCGGGTCTGGGGGTACCTGTGTGGGACGGTGAGAGGGGTACCTGTGGGCGGTGTGGGCCAGCGGCGGAGGGAACTAGGGTCTAGGGGAGAGCACGGTGCTGGGCAGCTGGGGCCCTGGGCTCCTGCGGTCAGTGGTGGAGGGGGCGGGGTCCAGGCGTAGCCTGGGGACATCATGGACTGTGCTGAGAGGGGCGGGTGTGTGCCTGGGGGGACAGCCAGCGGCCAGGGCAGGGGCGGCGTGGACAGACACGGCCGGGCTGGGCTGGTGTGTGTCCCACAGGCGTGTGCTGGAGGCAGCCCGGAAGGCCAACCAGACGGGACACTTCTTCTGGATGGGCTCGGACAGCTGGGGCTCCAAGATCGCCCCCGTGCTGCACCTGGAGGAGGTGGCCGAGGGCGCCGTCACCGTGCTCCCCAAGAGGGTGTCCGTGCGAGGTAGGCCAGCAGGCCCCTCCGCCGCAGCCACCAGCATGCCCCTCACTGTGCCTTCTCCTCGCCCCCTCCCTCTCCCCGTCCTCACCCTCCCATCCTGCCCACCTTCTCCCCGTCCTCACCCTCCCATCCTGCCCACCCTCTCCCCCTCCTCCCCCTCCCATCCTGCCCACCCTCTCCCCCTCCTCACCCTCCCATCCTGCCCACCCTCTCCCCCTCCTCACCCTCCCATCCTGCCCACCCTCTCCCCCTCCTCACCCTCCCATCCTGCCCACCCTCTCCCCCTCCTCACCCTCCATCCTGCCCACCCTCTCCCGCTCCTCACCCTCCCATCCTGCCCACCCCTCTCCCCTCCTCACCCTCCCATCCCGCCCACCCTCTCCCGCTCCTCACCCTCCCATCCTGCCTACCACCCTCTTCCTGGCCCGCAGCCCTCCCATCCTGCACACCCTCTCCCGCTCCTCACCCTCCCATCCCGCCCACCCTCTCCCCTCCTCACCCTCCCATCCTGCCCACCCTCTTCCACTCCTCATCCTCCCATCCCGCCCACCCTCTCCCACTCCTCACCCTCCCATCCTGCCCACCCCCTCCCCCCCCTCCCCCTCCCATCCCGCCCACCCTCTCCCACTCCTCACCCTCCCATCCTGCCCACCCTCTCCCCCTCCTCACCCTCCCATCCTGCCCACCCTCTCCCCCTCCTCACCCTCCCATCCTGCCCACCCTCTCCCGCTCCTCACCCTCCCATCCTGCCCACCCTCTCCCCCTCCTCACCCTCCCATCCTGCCCACCCTCTCCCGCTCCTCACCCTCCCATCCTGCCCACCCTCTTCCTGGCCCGCAGCCCTCTGTCCCGGGCTGGCCTTTCTGGGCTCCCTCGGGCCCTCCGTGGAGCTCCAGGGCCTTCCTCTCCTTCTCAGATATTTTGGCCTCGGGAGACGCGTGGCCCACAGAGGCTCATTAGTCGGGCTCTCGCCTTCATCCCGGATACTCCACCCCTTTCCTTCCGGAACTGCCTGCCCTGCCTGAGGGGCTCTCTGCTGGCAGGGCCCGGAGCTGCCCGCAGGCCCCACGGAGAGGGCCGGGAGGGCAGGAACGCCCTGCCACCTGCCGGGCGGCGGGTCCTCAGTGGTACCGGGGTGGGGCCCGCGGGTGGGGCCCGCCCTGCTCCGCATCCCTTCCTCTGGTCCCCTGGGCGGGAGCAGCGGCCGGGGCCACCTCTCTGGTGAGGTGTGGCTTTCCCGTTAACGGCCGGGTGTGCCGGGACCTCGCTGTCCTCCCCCCGGGCGGCAGGCTTCTCCTCTGCTCTCGCTCCTTTGGCGGAGGGGCCTGCAGACATCTGCCTCCACCAAACTCTCCCGGAGACCGAGCCTGAGCTGGGGAGGGACCTGCTCAAGCTCAGAGCCGTGCCCTCTATTCTCCCCGAGGCAGCGGGAGCACAGGCAGCCGTTTCCACCCCCCACCCCTCCCAGCCCAAACCTTAGTGAACACACAACAACATGGCCGTGGCTATTGGTACCCGCAGTGCCGGGCCCCGCAGGCTCCGGGCTGGTCTCCCATCCCCCGCCAGCCTCCTGTGGGTGGAGGCCTCGAGGCCCGGAGAGCTTAGGTGACCCCCCGTGGCTGTCACGTGGCAGAGCTGAGTGAGCCCAGGCCTGGCCTGACATGCCCCCTTCCTCTCTGGACGTTCAGAGCCTTTAGGGCAGTGGCTCTCACGTGCGGTGCTTTGGCCCCGAGGACAGGGGCGATGTCTGGAGACAGTGTGCTTGTCACAGTGGCGGAGGGTGCCCTGGCACCCGGCCGGTAGAGGCCAGAGTGTAGTCCAACAGCTGCAGGGCACTGAGCGTCCCGCGCCACGTGGAGCACCCTGCTCCAGCCAGCGCCTGCTCTGGCAGCAGCCCCTGCGACCAGGCCCCTGGCCCCCCTGGGCCTGCCACCCACCCGGAAGCTCCCCGTTTGGTGGGGCCCCTGGAGCTCTCCGCCTCCGGCCTCTCCCAGGCAGCGGAGTCAGCTGTGCGCATTGCACGGAACAGTCACCGACGTGGAAGGGGCGTTGGGGGGAGAGGGCGTTGCTCACCGCCACCTGCCACCGGGGCGGGGTTTCTGGGCTCAGAGCAGAGCTGGGGAGCTCCCGGGAGCATGAGGAGGAGGAGGCTGCATGGTCAGCGACACCAGCTCTGGACCTGAGGGGAGACCAGCTGCTGGCCTTGCTGTGACCGGGTCACCCAGCCTCTCTGGTGTGGGCTCCTCCTCAGAACCAGAGAGCCCAGGTGTTCCCCCCCCCCCCCCCCCCAGCCTCTCTGCTCCAGCCTCAGGACCGGCAGTGAGAAGGCGGGGAGCGCCCCTCGCACTGCGCTCCCATAAAGGCGCGCTTGTAAGATCACACATGCTCCCCCTGGGGCTCCGTAAGCGCTTTCCATTTAGAGCGGAATGAAATGCTCCACGTTTTGTTTTCTCCACCTGGCCTGGCTCTGCCCGCCCTCCCTCCCTCCCTCCTCCCGGCCGTCTCTAAGCGGGGGAGCGGGAGGGTGTGTGTGTGGGGGGCGGGCGGGGATGGTGGAGGAGGGGCTCCCTGGCCTGACCTCCTGGCTCCCCCAGGCTTCGACCGCTACTTCTCCAGCCGCACGCTGGACAACAACCGGCGCAACATCTGGTTTGCCGAGTTCTGGGAGGACAACTTCCACTGCAAGCTGAGCCGCCACGCGCTCAAGAAGGGCAGCCACGTCAAGAAGTGCACCAGTGAGAGCGGGGGTGGGGTGGGGTGGGTGGGGTGGGGGGTGGGGGGGCAGAGGAGGGGCTGGGTCCCGGATCCTGAGGGGGTGCTGAGGGGGGAAGACGGCTAGTGCCGAGCCAGATGGCAGAGTCTGCAGGGCAGAGGCTCTGGGGTCTAGGCCGCTGGGTGAGAAGGTGGGCTGGCGCCTGGGGCGGGGCCCTGGGGGCGGGGCCGAGCTAATTTAGGATTAAGTCCCAGAAAGTTAAGGGTTTGGGTGGTGGAAACCTCTGTGGTCTCTCCCAGACAAGCCACCCGTGACACTGCTGAGTGGGGGAAGGGGCTCCTAGTCCTCGGGCCTTGGGGTTCATCTGGAGCCCGCAGAACTGAACCGGTTCCAGCTGCCCTGTGGGCTCCGGTCGGACCCCCAGGAGTGCTGGCTCTGTTCTAAGCAGGTGGTTTAAACAAGAGTCAGAAATCTCTTGGCATTTTTAATCCAACGGGGAGACAGACCATCAACAAGATCAGGAAATAAATAAAATCTATGTCAGAGGAAAAGGTGCAGTAGAAACAAAAAACAAGAAAGAGGACACCTCCCAGCAAAGGTAATGTGTGGCAGGCAGGTCCTGAGGACTCAGGACGGAGTGAACCGGGCCGGACAGGACACAGCGGATACTGCAGGACACAGTGAACCGGGCCGGACAGCACAACGGCCCATTTCCCAGGCTGTTTCCCAGGCAGAGGTGGCAGAGCAGGATTTGAATGCAGCTGTGAGCTCGAGGCCTCAGCCCCCTGGGGTGCCCTCATGGTGTGGATGTGGGTCCTAAGTGCTCCTGGTCTGGGCAGCTGGGCAGCGGGACCTGGGCTCAGTGGCATTGGAGGGCCGGGTGCCCTCCCTGAGAGGTGCTGTGCGAGGAAGGTCCCTCCCCTCTCCTCCTGGACTGGCCGGTGCGGCTGGGAGGGGCCAGGAGACCAAGGGCTGCAGGACAGATCCACAGGATGTGTGGATCCGAGGCAGTTTAGTGCAGGAGAGGAGGAGATGGTAATGTGAGTGGGCAGCTGGAGAGCGTGCTGCCCTCTGGTGGCCAGGCTCACTGGGCATCGTGGCCACTTAGGTCTGGATATCCCTTAGGGCCCTGGCAGGTTCCTATGCAGGTGGAGGTGGCAGGGTGTGTGTGTGTGTGTGTGTGTGTGTGTGTGACTGTGTGTGCAGGAGTCGGTATGTCTGAGGGAGAAGAGATGTGTGGTGCTTGTGTTCCTCGGTGGGCTGATAACCATGTACACCACTCCACAGTGTACCTGCTGTTTTGGAACTGTAAAGACATGATCTCATTTCACCCTCACAGTAGCTCTAGGGACTTTTGTGATCCCCGTGTCATGGAGGAGAACATGGAGTCAGCCAGCCCAGCACCGTGTCCAAGGCTGCACAGCAAATGCTTCATTGCCAGCAGTCACGGCAGAGGTGCCAGGAGTCAGGCAGGGTGACCGTGCATCCTGCTTGTTCTGTGTGTGTGTGTGTGTGTGCGCACACATGCACGCGTGTGTTGTGTGTGTAAGTTGGGAGCATCCCAATTTGTTCTCAGAAGTGCCCGCGTGGGAATGGAAGATTGCACGGTCACCCTGATTGTAGGTCCTCAGATGTGCTTGGGACAGAGATGGGTGGCACTGGACATGAGCCAGATGGGTAGCTGGCCTGGCCTGCCCGGGCGAGGGGCTTGCTGGAGGCACCTGTTGGTCTGGAAGAGGTAGGCGGGGACAAGGCCTCGGTCAGTCCATGTGGGCTCGGTCCGGACTCAGTCCTCAGGTCAGGACTCGCAAACCGGGAGAGAGCCGGCTGCCAGAGGCGGTGTCTGGGCAGCGTCACAGGGTTCGGAAGAGGGTCTCCTTCACTGAGCCCGAGGCAAGCTGTGTGGCCTCTCTGGGCCTTTGCTTTCCTGTCTGAGAAATGGGGGTGATGGTGAGCCAGCCCCAGGGTGTGGGAGAGTGAGGAGGGTTAGTGTAGGCGCTGTGTGAACTGCTCGGTGGCTCCCAGCCTGGCTGTGCATTGGAGTCACCGGGGGCTCGGATACTGTGCCGGGACCCGCTGCCTGAGCCGGGCTCCACCGGGCCTGGAAGTTTGAAAAGCTCTCCAGGTGATGTGTGTATGTTCAGGGCTGGAAGCCGTGAGTAGGAGCCGAGCTCCCCCAGCCTGTTCTCTCCGAATCACTGGGGACCTTTTAAAACGACTGATGCCTGACGCCCACCCCCAGACAAGCTGATTGAATGGGAACTGGATGCAGCCGGGGCACCGGGATCTTCAGAAGGTGCCCCAGGCGTTCTACTGCACAGCAACGCGTGGGCGGCTCCGAGGGAGGGGTGCTGGAGGGAGGACAGCGTGCTCCCCAGGCTGGAGGGCGGTGTGAGCAAAGGAGCCGGAGCGGGTGAGCAGGGGTGGCGGGAGGGGCGGGAGGACAGCACCTGGCAGCGAACCTGGGTCCTCGCTGCCTCTGAAGCCGCAGCAGAGCTGGAGGGAGTCCCCCAGTCAGGCGCGGTGGGCCTGTCCATCTCTGGGTGAGGTGCGGAGCGGAGGAGCATGGAGCCCGAGGCGCCCTGAGACCCAGCGCTGGCTTCCCACGGCCTTGTCCCTTGGGAGAATGCCTTTGGCAGGAGGACCAGCGTGACGCCCATGGAGTGCTGTTACCTGGGCGGGGTGAGGGGGGCTCACCCCCAGGTCTGGGTCTGCCTCTGCCTCCTCCCTGCTGTGTGACCTTGGACGAGGTACGAAACCTCTCCGAGTCTCCGAGCTCAGGAGGTTGTCAGTAGAACAAGGAGAACACCCGCCTCAGTGGGAGTCGTGAGGGCTGGAGAGGGAGTGTCTGAAGAGGCTGGCTGAACACCACGCCCACGAGAGGTGCTGATGACCTGGTTGTCGTTGACAGAGGAGTGAGAGGTGGGATGCACAGGCGGTTGGGTAATTATCACCCACGTGGAGGATCCTGGTTCCTGAAGGGGGGGGGGGCGTGTCTAGGCTGTCCCCAGTGCTGCACCGCTATCGGCGAGGAGACTGAGGCATTGTGAACATGACGGCTGGAGAATTGGCAGGGCTGGAGGCACCCCCAAGCGAGCCTGGCTCCGGAGCTGGCCCTTGGGAGAATGCCTTTGGCAGGAGGACCAGCGTGACGCCCATGGGTGAGGGGGCTCACCCCCAGATCTGGGTCTGACTCTGCCTCCTCCCTGCTGTGTGACCTGCCAGCTGGCTGCTGCCTTCCCTCCCCTTGGCCCCCTCCCTCTTGTCCTCAGCCAGCTCTGTGTCTCCACCTGCCCCCTCACCTCCTCCGGGATTCTGCCGGCCTCGGTTAGCCCCCCACCCTGGTCCCCTTGACGTTAGCATTCGGCCTCTGCCCAGGCCCTCCTGCCCGGCCCGAGGTCCCCAGTGAGCCAGGGCCACCCTGAGCTCCTGTCAGCGCCCCTGCTGAGAGGATGGCTGGACCCTCTTATCCTGGGGTGCTCCCCCTGGGGAGACAGAATCCAAGCTGCAAGTCTGTCTTCAGCTCATTCCCCTGAGACAGATTAGAGATAGAGCAGTTTACTGGGGGGGGGGTAGGGGGTAGGGGGTAGGGGAGGGACCAGGAAACATGGGAGGGGAGGGAGGCAGCATAGAGGCAGGGTGGGGGGGCGCCAGGAAACACGGAGGGGAGGGAGGCAGCATAGAGGCAGGGGTGGGGGGGGCGCCAGGAAACACGGAGGGGAGGGAGGCAGCATAGAGGCAGGGGTGCCAGGCAGGTCCCCGCTGAGAGCTGGAGCTCCGCACCCCTGGGCTCTGGGACAGAGGAGCACGCCTCTCAGTCTCCCCGGAGGTGCAAGGCGGGGGTGGGGGTGTCCTACTCCCAGCAATCCCTGGAGCTCCTGGAGGGGGATTCCTCAGTACCCCACCTGCTGCAGGCCTGTGACCAGAGGAAAACTCAGAAGAGTGGCAGGTGCTGGCAGCTGGAGATGGGCCCTGTGCCTCGAGGGGTAAGGGTGAAGGGAATGGTGGGCACTCATTCTTCCTCAAGCTTACAGCCTGAGAGTCTCTGCAGGAAGCGTGGCAGATGCCCAGCGACCACCGCACCTGGCGCCGGGCGAGCTGGGGGTCACCCAGCGGGCAGCTCTGCAGCTGTCAAGGCCCGTGGGAGGCAGCACCTGCCCCTCCTCGCCGCCTCCTCCCCAGGAGCCACAGAGCAGGGTTCGGAGGCAGAGCTGTAAACAGGGCAGATGCGGCATCCATCTTCCTGACAGCACTGCCAGCCAGGTGACGGCTGAGGGAGGAAGGCCGGTTTATGAGGAAATAGGAGAAATTTACTGCTCGCTGCTCCGGGGCCAGGAGCCTGAGCGGCAGGGCGGCTGCGTGGCAGCTGGGATGTGGACGGTGCGATCACCCAGCCTGTGATAACAGAGTAACAGCGGCAGCGAAGGCTTGTACAGCACTTACCGCTTGTCAAGCTCCGCTCCAGCACTTCGCATTGAATCCTCACAGCAGCCATTTCACAGATGAGAAAACTGAGGCATGGAGAAGTTAAAGACTTGCCCAAGGGCACAAGGTAATAAGTAGCAGAGCTGAGATTTGAACCCAGGCTGTCTGGCTCCAGGGCCCTCCTGGCTCTTCCAGCGGCTTTGAAGGGCCTTCCACCTCCACATTCCCAACGGAGCCTGAGGGGAAGGGAAGGCAGACACGTTTGGAATTGGCTTCCCCTCCTTGCTGCTTCTTGCTTGTCCAACCAGCGTCTGCTAAGAGGCTGTGTGCCCAGCCCTGTGCTGGGCTTGGGGATGGACCAGACCTGCCCGGGCTCTCCCTGCAGGTGTGGGACAGTATGACCGTGCAGACAGGTGTGCACCGGGCCTCCCAGGAGTCAGAGCCGAGGGCCTCCAGGGAGGAGCTCACAGTGAGGCCGAGAGGGCAGGTCCGGGGCCTCTGGGAGGGGACGGGGAGTGCTGGGGACCAGCTCCTTTCAGGAGGTCAGACGTCCTCACCGAGAGGAGACACTTGAACAAAGACTTCAAGGCATGAGAGAGCGAGGCATGTGGAGACCGGGGGAGCCAGTGCCAGGCAGAAGTCACAGGTAGGCTCATGCCTGGCAGGCGAGGGGCAGTGAGGAGGCCCCGGCAGTTGAAGAGAGAGTAGATTGGGGTAGATTGGGGGGTTGGGGGTGCAGATGGTGTGGGCCTTGTAGACAGCTTGTAAGGATTCTGTCTTCCACGGACTGAGAAAAGGCCACGCAGGGTGTGAAGAGGGCGGGGTTAATCTGAATGACCATATGCTTGTATGAAGGTCATGCTAATGGTGTGTTACACATATTTTGTGTGTTTATTTGTACATTGTGTACATGGACATGCATTCAGATGTGCTCAGATGCATGCAGGTTTGCGTGTTGTCTATATGTGTAGATGTGAAAGCATCTGGCTGGTCTGTATCCTGTGTGAGCGTCACGGGTGTGTGTGTGTGTGTGTGTGTGTGTGTGTGTGTGGCTCAGGAGGGCTGTGCTGGGCGGGTGAGTTGTGGAGAGGTGAGGGGGAGTCAAGGAGGAGCTCTTATTATTTCAACCTTGAAAACACATTTCAATTACAATTTACAACCTGCAGACAAAGGCTGCAGTCACCGTAGTAACCGCAGCTGTGGGGCTGGGGGGGAGTCCTCTCGCTGGCTCCCTGGCTGGCTGTCAGGCGGAGGAGCCAGGCGCATCTCCGGCTCATCGTGCCCCGGGACACAATTAGGACATCTTCGCGCTGTTGCTGCTGTCACTGCTGCTGTGTGTCCGGGATTTATCTCTTCCACCGACTCGCTGAATTGTGTGTCTCGCCGCCTCCCAGATCTGCGGTGCCCCTGCCGGGCCCGGGGCTCCCACCACCCTCTCCCTCCATGGCCACTGCCTCCCACCTCCTGGGCCTGGCCTGACAGCTGGCACAGGGCCTGGGCCCCACAGCGGGAAGAGGCAGGTCAGGGAGCAGGGGAGAGACAGATCAGGGTAGACCCGTGGTCGGCAAACTGCGGCTCGTGAGCCACATGCGGCTCTTTGGCCCCTTGAGTGTGACTCTTCCACAAAATACCACGGCCTGGGCGAGTCTATTTTGAAGAAGTGGTGCTAGAAGAGTCTAAGTTTAAAAAATGTGGCTCTCCAAAGAAATTTCAATTGTTGTGCTGTTGATATTTGGCTCTGCTGACTAATGAGTTTGCCGACCACTGGGGTAGACAAACTCTTTTGGAACCAGCCAGTCCCCAGGGATGTAGGAGCGCCTACTGGGTGCCAGGGTTCCTGCGAGACTCGGGATGTCACCGGACCACCTGCAACCTCGCTCCCTCCTCCGGAGGGGGCTGTGCAGCCCCCACTCGAGCTGCGCCTCGGAAGAGAGCAGGGCGGGCTCAGGAGGGCTCATTGCCGAGGAGCCGGGCTGCAAGGAGGGCCGGGCTGGTTGTGGGCACAGCTTGGGCGGAGCACCTGGTCCAGTCTGACTGGCATGTGTGGCTCCTGCGCCCCCACCGGTCGCGAGCACGGGACTCTGTCCCTGGGCTCCCTGTGGGCGTGGAAGGGCTTGGGCTGGAGGGGTGTGTGTGTGTGTGTGAGTGTGTGTGTGTGTGTGTGTGGGGGGGGGGCCTCGCTCAGGCCTGCTGCGCTCTCCAAGGTAAAGGTGCTTTGCAGGCCACCTCACTGCACCTGTTATCTCATCTGTAATTGGGGCTAGACTTGGGCATAAGTCAAGGACGTGAAACTGGCACCCTGGCAGCTTTGGGGTGGAGGTGGGAGGGGCCCACAGCAGCCCAGGCAGAGACAGGCTCCCCAGGGGGAGGTGCCCCATGGGGAATGGCTGCTTCGGCGGGACACTGAGGAGGGGCCCCTGGGGAGACGGAGAGCAGAGCCGAGGGCCGAGGGCCGCTGGGGCCATTGCCGGTGTGCTGGGCGCCGTGGCCTTGGGAGGGCTGTCTCTTTTCTGCCGTGGCCCATGGCTGTGGCCGCAGCCTCCTCCCTGCCTGCTGGCTAACCATTCAGTCTCTCCCTTTGAACCGGGATGGAGCTGCGGGGAGCTGAGCTTTACCTCCTTCAGGCTGCAGAGGGCAGGCCCCGGGGGCTGGGGGCTGGGGGCTGGGCTGCGGTAGGCAGAGAGGGAGGGGGTCCAGGGTGGGGCTTCCAGAACCCCTCCCTCCCCCGGCCCAGCCCCTCTGAGGACAGGATGGTTTTTGCATTTCTCTCCCAGCCCGGCTCTTAGAAGCTTGTGATCAGAGGCTTCGGACAGAGGCAGCTGCGCTGCGGAAGCTGGGAGGCTTGCTTTCACGTCCATCCTGTCTCCAGGCCGTGGCCTAGAAATAGCCTTCCCTGTTAGCAGCCTCTGCTGTGCGGAGCCCGAGGCGGGCGGGGCCTCCGCATCCTTGTACCTGGTGTTTAACGAACTTCTGAAGCCCTTGGCAAGCACCAGGCCTCTGTGCCTTCGTGAATATTAACCCATTAGTCCCCACAGGGTCCCGATCCTGGCCCGAAACTGAAGCCTCAGAGATGGAGTGATGGTTCAAGGTCACACAGCTGGAGCTGGGGTGCCTATGCAGTGCAGCGTGGTGGGTGGCGGGGGGCCAGGGCAGCAGGCTCGGGGCCCACCCCTCTCCAGCCCCGAGGCCACACCACAGAGCGGCGGGCTCTGTCTGAACCAAACTGTCCCTGTGGAGCCACTGGATCTGCCCCAAACGGTCCAGTCTGAGCATTGACTCTTGGATCTGACCCCAAGGCTGGGGAGACGGGAGCCAGGCTCACCCTGGGCACGGGGTCTTGGCGGCTGAGGCAGGGAGAGGAGACACGCTGATGGTCACCAGCTCCACGGAGCCCTGGCAGGCAGGCTCGGTGACCGTCACCGTGTCTAAACACTGTGCCCCCCCCCTCCCCCCCCCGCTTCTGGGGGTGAGCTGGGGTCCTGGGGCCTGAGGTCAAGTGCGGTCTGGGGTGGAGGGCGGGAGGGGCTGAGCTGGGAGTGCTCATCTGTCCCTGAGGCTGGCTGAGACCTGCGGCCGCCTCTTGGCTCCGCTTCCTTATCTGTAAGTGACAGAATGGGAGCAGGTGAGCCCACGGCTGCCACCCAGCTCTGTGATCCGTGATTTCCAGCTTCCACTCAGCAGTCCCTGGGGATCTGTCCCAAGCCAGGCCGAGGAGGGTGGACACCCTGGTGGGTGGCGACTGTGGGGGGTGAGGTGGTGGAGCAGACCACAGGGCAGCAGGGTGCCCCGGCACCCACATCTGTCTCTGAGGTGTGGGAGGAGGGGGATGGACACATCAGAGCTCCAGGGGTTTTGGGGCTGGTGCTGACCCGACCTGACCTGGCCCCCCGACAACGGGTCCTGAGGCTCAGGCCGTGGCTCGGGGCAGACACAGTGCTCGCCCTGCTGCCCTCGGGGAATTGCCTCGGGAAGGTGTCACTGGCCCTCCCACAGGGCGGCGTGGGGTGGGGGGGCTTATGAGGCTCCATCCTTGTCCTGGCCTTGAGGGAGGAGGCTGCGGCCATGTTGTACACAGGGGCTGGGGCCTCAGGAGGGGACCCGGGCTTCCCTGGTGGTCTGTCCGTCCTGTCCCTCCACCCTGCCCCGGGTCCTCACCTCCACGTCCTTGCCCCTCTCCCCCGCCCTGGCACAGGGTCCAGGGGTACAGTGGGGAGAACAGCAGGCCTTCCCCTCCACCCCTCAGGGCCCCCAGCTGCTTCCACCAGACCGATTCCTGGGGAGCAGAGCAAGCAGTGGGCTAGGGGCCAGGAGAGCTGGGCCTGATGGCTGCGCGCCTCTGCGCCCCCCTGCGCGGTCAGCGGGGCTGCGGGCATGGGGGCGTGGCGGGGATGGCAGGGATGGCGGGCGTGGCGGGCGCCCACTCTGGGTGTTTGGTTGCAGACCGCGAGCGCATTGGGCAGGATTCGGCGTACGAGCAGGAGGGGAAGGTGCAGTTTGTGATCGACGCGGTGTACGCCATGGGCCACGCGCTACACGCCATGCACCGGGACCTGTGTCCGGGCCGCGTGGGGCTCTGCCCGCGCATGGACCCTGTGGACGGCACCCAGCTGCTCAAGTACATCCGCAGCGTCAACTTCTCAGGTGGGAGTGGAGTGCGTGGCCCTGCCGGCCTGGTCCTGGGCCGTGCAGCCGGGGGAGGGGTCCTGGGCCTGGGGGAGGGAGCCTGGGCCTGGGGGAGGGGGCCTGGGCCCGGGGGCGGGGTCGGAGGGTGGAACCTGAGGCCTCTCTGCCCTGGGCTCAGCGCTCCAGCCGTTGGGTGCAGGCTCAGCAGAGAACCTGAGTGTGCGGCTCCCACGGCCCCACAGGCATCGCAGGGAACCCCGTGACCTTCAACGAGAACGGAGACGCGCCTGGCCGCTATGACATCTACCAGTACCAGCTGCGCAACGGCTCCGCTGCGTACAAGGTCATCGGCTCCTGGACTGACCACCTGCACCTGCGAGTGAGCGCCTGCCTGGCGGAGGGAGGTCTGAGGGGGTCGCCAGGGTGGAGAGCCACTCGCCCTGTCCCAGCTCGGTAGGGGGAATACGGGGGTGGGAGGGAGCCCCTGAGTAGCCCTGGTCTCTGGGATTTGTTCCGTGCCCGCTCCCAGACATCAGAGGGCCCCGAGCCCCCCTGAGAGGAAGGACAGGGCCACTGGACCCCTGTCCTGCCTCTCCCGGGCCTGGGGAACCTCCGTTCGGCCTGCCGCCCACTCGCAGGGCACAACGCTCTGGATAGAGGCTTGCTGGAGTGAAATGGGTGGTGCGGGCAGCTGGGTGCGCAGGGGGCTGTGTTTGGACAGAGGATGGTGTTTAAGGCCAAGGGCAGTCAGTGGCAAGCGGGGAGCTGTTTGAGAGGCGGTCTCCAGCATTGTCACACCCCCAGGGAGGCCATCCTTTCCCTGGGTCCTCCCGCCACGCTTCCCAGCTCACAGCTGTTCCTGGGACACGGGGACACGGGGACACGGGGACACGGGACACAGGGACATGGGGACATGGGGACGCGGTGGCTTTCTCTCTGGCCTCGGTCTCCTGCTGTGAAAGGAGCAGTGTTCGCAGAGGGAAAGGACCTGTGATTCCTTCCCCAAGGAAATGCCCGTGGACGCCGGTCCCTGCCTGCAGGGTGAGGGTGGGCGTGCTCTGGTGCACAGTGTGACATCTGGATGGACCTGGGAGGCTCCGGGGCCCAGGTCCACATCTGGCCTCACCCATGCTTCTTCCACCTCCCGGGAGAGCCACAGCGTGCCCCGCTCCCCTCCTGTAATGATCTCTCTGGCGACAAGCCCCTGGGGCCCTGCAGAGCAGCTTCTGCCGATGATCCCACTTAGCCCACATCTTCTGAGACAGGAGAGATCTGAGGAAACCAGCCTGAGGGCGTTCCAAGCACGGCAGGATGGAGCTCATTGCTATGGTGATGCTCCTTGGGCTGAGCGGAGACAGACAGACAGACAGGCACTTGTCAGCGTGGGACAGTGCCCACATGGAGCCAGGCCTCATTCCGGTGCAGTGGGTGCGGCGGGGGTGTGTGGGAGGGTATGGGGGGCAGTGACTCAGGTCCTGCAGCAGCAGCAGCAGCAGCTAACCTGGCTGAGCACCTGCTGTGCCAGCTCCTGTTCCAGCAGTGGCCTCACCGTGAGGACAGCCAGCGCGGCAGGCAGGCAGGCACAGTGCCCCACGCCACAGCGTGCTAAGGGAAGGCCCTCCCACTGTCCTCCGCCCTCCGCCGGCCTGCTGTTGGGGTGGGAGAAGGTGACCACACCTGCCCCTTTCTCCCTGAGCGCTCACTGTGGGGGCCACGGGTCAGGCTAGGCTCAGGGCGCCAAGGAGGAGGCCTCTCTGGCTGGTGCCGGACCTCGAGACTGCTTCTGCAGATTCCACAGAGATTCCCTGCCCCCCTCCGCCTCCGGAGTGTCAGCCCCCAGACAGGCTGTCTGGGGGCTGGATGTGGGCAGGGAAGCAAACATGAAGACTCCGCCCTGTGGGGCTGACTTTCTGGTGAAATCAAAGAATTTCTGTTATGACTTCCGAGGCGAAACCCCCTAAGTACCAAAGGGCCTGTAGCTTCGCGCCTGCGCTCCTCGGAACAGAAAACAGGCTCAGAGGTGCCAGGTCTTCTCCGGGCACACAGCCAGCTGGCAGCAGAACGGGGACCACATTCCCTGCCTTTTCCCCTAGAGCCAGAACTTTCCAGAACGCCCGCTGTCACCCGAGTCCTCTGCAAAGGTCCTTTCCCCGCAGTCCCAGCTCCAGGGCTCAGGAGTGTCCGGCCTCGGTGTCCCCGCAGGCCCCGGCCTGGCCATTGCTCTGCTCCTTGGTTCCAGGGGACCACACGCCCCGTCAGGCCAGAGCCACAGGACAAGCTCTTTCCTCATGGTTGTCTTCCCACTGGCCACGGGCCATCTCTGTACCCCTGCCCCCCACCTTGTTCCTCAGCTCTGAAACCCGCCCTCGCTCCAGGCCAGCAGGCTGTTCTCCGGAGTAAGCACCCAGCACCCACGAGGCCCCGTCTGGGCAGGCCCGCTGTTCTGTGAGCATTGGCTCCTCCTCAGAGTCACTTCCTGTGGAGCAGACGCTGCGAGCCCGGCTCCCCATGGTCGGCTCCCTCTGCCCAGTGCCCGGAGCACCTCGGGGCCTCTGGCTTACTTTCCAGGATTCTGTGACACTCAGAGTGCGCCCACCCTCCCGCGGCTCCTCGCTCACGGTGACTGTGTCTTTGGAGACGTGGGATGTGGCTAGCACTAGTTTAGAGCAAGCTGAGGACACTAACTGGGGCACGCAGTGGCTGTCCTGGGAGTGAGCCTTGGTTCGTTGCTCTCCGCTGACCCCAGCTCGTGTGCTGTCGGAGAGGCCCGTGGGCCGAGCCATCAGCGTGCTTCTCCCCGCCTGTGGGCACCCGGATCTCCTGGGTCTCCTGAGAACTCAGGCTCGGAGTCAGTGGGCCTGAGATGGGCCAGAATGTTTGTTTCCCAGCAGGCCCCTGGGCGGAGCTGCTGCTGCTGGTCTGGGGGCCACTGCGGAGCCGCACGGCCTCCTGAGTGCGCTCTGCCCTGCCGTGTGCCTCCAGGCCACACATGTCAGACTCAAAGGCTCACGCGGGCCAAATAAGATGTAAGCTTATGTGGCCGCAAAAAAACAAAAGCTTCAATTTTCATAGGATCGTAGGTTTATTTCGATAGAGACATGCTGAATACAAAGGGCTGGAATAAATGAGTTATTGTTAACAAAATAATAGAACATTTCAATAAAAATTAATATTTCTTCCTTGAACATTAACTTACCAGACATTAAATAACTGCACAGATTAATAAGGGTAACGCAAATAAAGCTATTTTTCTTGTTCTCCAAAAGTGAAATATTTCCTGTTGCACACACCAAACAAGTCATTCCAAGACTAATGACGTGGCCATCAGCTGCTAAAATATTCGCTGCTGGTATTAGTGGAGAGAAATACCTGTGTGTAAGGCCTGTAAGGGAAATGAATGCAATACAATTATAGTAATCACTAATTAGCAAACGTTGTAGGTAGTTGGTTATTAATAATCCTATATAATAAAAGGCTAATATGCAAATTAGAGTTCAACTGACCAGGATTTTCAACTGACTGGGAGTTTGACCGCTCGCCATGACGTGCACTATCCACCAGGGGTGGTGTGCAATAAAGGCAGGCCCAGCCGCAGCCGGAAGACCCCAGTTGGCCTTGATTGCCGCCAGGCCTAGGGACTCTATCTGTGCACGAATTTTGTGCACTGGGCCTGTAGTTATATATAACAGGGTATTGTAAAAGTTAAGTTATAGGATTTTTATTAACATGTTTCTTATATACTGTTATATTGGCTGGTCCGCAAAAATATTTGTTGTGGGCCACATGCGGCCTTCGGGCCACAAGTTCGACATGCTTGCTCTAGGCTGCTCTGCTGTTCCCCTACAACCCTGGAGTTGTGGACTCGATCAGGATTCCCATAGGCCAGTGTGTCTGGATCGGGGGAGCTTGTTTAAATCCAGCTATTGGTTTCAGCGGGTCTGAGGGGCCTGGGAAACTGGATTTGTAGCCGACTAAGTGGGTGATCCAGGCGTGGGGCCACAGGGTGCCAGCCGTGGGGTGGTCCGGGGCACCGGGGCATATCTGAGGCCCATGCCCCCACGCTATCGTTGGCAGATGGAGCGGATGCTGTGGCCAGGGAGCGGGCAGCAGCTGCCCCGCTCCATCTGCAGCCTGCCCTGCCAGCCCGGCGAGCGGAAGAAGACGGTGAAGGGCATGCCCTGCTGCTGGCACTGCGAGCCCTGCACCGGGTACCAGTACCAGGTGGACCGCTACACCTGCAAGACCTGCCCCTACGACATGCGGCCCACGGAGAACCGCACAGGCTGCCGGCCCATCCCCATCGTCAAGCTGGAGTGGGCCTCGCCCTGGGCCGTGCTGCCCCTCTTCCTGGCCGTGGTGGGCATCGCCGCCACGCTCTTCGTGGTGGTCACCTTCATGCGCTACAACGACACGCCCATCGTCAAGGCCTCGGGCCGCGAGCTGAGCTACGTGCTGCTGGCGGGCATCTTCCTGTGCTACGCCACCACCTTCCTCATGATCGCCGAGCCCGACCTGGGCACCTGCTCGCTGCGCCGCATCTTCCTGGGGCTGGGCATGAGCATCAGCTACGCGGCCCTGCTCACCAAGACCAACCGCATCTACCGCATCTTCGAGCAGGGCAAGCGGTCGGTGAGCGCCCCGCGCTTCATCAGCCCCGCCTCGCAGCTGGCCATCACCTTCAGCCTCATCTCGCTGCAGCTGCTGGGCATCTGCGTGTGGTTCGTGGTGGACCCCTCCCACTCGGTGGTGGACTTCCAGGACCAGCGGACGCTGGACCCCCGCTTCGCCAGGGGCGTGCTCAAGTGCGACATCTCGGACCTGTCGCTCATCTGCCTGCTGGGCTACAGCATGCTGCTCATGGTCACGTGCACGGTGTACGCCATCAAGACGCGCGGCGTGCCCGAGACCTTCAACGAGGCCAAGCCCATCGGCTTCACCATGTACACCACCTGCATCGTCTGGCTGGCCTTCATCCCCATCTTCTTCGGCACCTCCCAGTCGGCGGACAAGGTGAGTAGGGGGCAGAAGGCAGGGTGGGGGGGGAGGGCCGAGGAGGGGCAGGTTTGGAGGTGCTTGTGTTCCTGCTTTGCCCTAGCTTCCTCTCCATTGTGTGTTTTCTCCAAGTTCTGGGCTTTCTCTCCTCCCTCCCTTTCTGTTTTCCTGTCTCCTCTCCTTTTCTCTGTCTCATCTCTCCCTTTCTCTCCCTCCTTCCCTTTTCTAGCTGCCTCCTCTTTCCTCATCTCTCCACCCTTGCCTTTCCCTCCTCCTCCCTTTCTCATTCCCCCTTTCCTCGTTTCTCTCCTCTTCCTCTCTCTCCTCTCTGAGCCTGGGAGGCTGCGCCATCTTTCGTTCTTCATTCTTTTCTAGACAGTCCATTACCTCCCTCTCCATTCAGCCCCACCTTCCTTCTGTCCATTTCCCTCTTCATCCTCCTTTGCCCTCCCTGCCTCTGCCCTCCCAGGATCCCCTGGGTCCCTGAGGTGGGAGGTGGGTCAGGCACCTTTCCCCTCTCCCAGCCCCAAGCTGCCCTGCCCGGGAGCCGGCCTGGCAATGTCAGCCCAGGGCCCTTCCGTCCCGCGCCTCCTGCTGGCTCTGTAGGCCATCCCGGCCCCGCCCCCCGGCCCCGTGGACTCTGCCCAAGTCCCAGCACCCACTGGGGGATTATCTTGAAGGGTTGGGTGTCAGTGAAGTGGAGGCCAGCGACATGGAAGACCATGGAGACCCCAGATCCCAGCTCCTGGTCGGAGCTCTGTGTCTAGCCGTGGGATCCTAGGCAAGCCGGCTGGCCTCTGCCTCAGTTTCTTCACTGTGGATTAGGGCCTTGATCCTCCTCATCCTATAGGTGTTGTAACAACCACACGGCATGATGGTGTAGACGCAGTTGACCTGCTGTGTGGGTCTGGGACTGGGGAGAGTGGAGGGGACAGGCGGATGGCAGGGGACCCAGTGCTGTGGGAAGGCGGTTGGCTTTTGCTGTGAGTGAGAAGGGAGCTGCTGTGGCTTTTGGTGTGAGGCTGGGGAGGGAGGGGTGCCGAGCACTAAGGTGGGGGAGGTGCTAGAGGAGCCGATGTGGGCAGACGTCGGGGTCCCCTGCACGTGCTAAGTTTGGGGTGATGCCCAAACTTAGATGCCCAACTGCAGCTATCACGCCAACGGCTGACTAGATGAGCCTGGAGCTCAGGGGCGAGGCCAGCGGGATGTACCTGGGAGAGTCCTCAGCCCGTGGGTGGCCTCAGGGCCTGGGCCTGGGTGTCGCCTGAGGAGGCCTTGGCTGCAGAGTGGCTGCCACCAAACCCTGGCAGGCGGTGCTTGTCATATGCCAGTGCCTTACCTACCGGTTAGCTCACCCCCAGCCGCAGGTGAGGGGAGCTGTCCCCTCCCCATTTATACACGAGGACATGGGGGCGCAGAGAGGCAGTGACTTGTCTGAGGGCACAGCCGGTGGGTGGCACAGCTGGACATGGCCCTGCTCTAACTCGGAGCCCTCCCTGGCCCTGGCCCTGCAGCTCTGGGGCACCTTCTCTGCCCAGGGGCGTCCGGGTGGCTGCCCCCCTTCTCGCACAGCTCCTCTCCGGGCCCGGCCCGGCCCAGGGAAGCCCGTGGCCTGTCTTCCGGGGGTGGCCCTGCGGGCCGGGGGTCCCAGGAGCAGACCTGGGGCTGGCAGTGAGTGCCCTGAGGTCTGAGACCAGGCCTGGCGCCAGGCCGCTGGGAGCCAGAGCAGCCACAGGCCTCACTGGTGCTGAGAGCCGGGTCTCCAGTGCCCACCAGGCCTGCGGAGGCCTCCGTGCTGAGGCAGGTGCAGGCGGCGGCCCACGCCCCGCAGCACTGCGGAGCCCACAGAGCCAGCAGGGCCACCCCACTCCGGGAAGCTGGCAGCTTGAGGAATTCCCTACAACACCCCTCAGAGGCCAGCAGCGTGGTGGTTAAGCCCCTGCCCTGCTGCTATAATTTCCTCAGGCTCCCTGCCTGCACACCGCGCCCAGTGTCCCCTGCCATCCGAGGGCAGACCTTCCCACCTCCAGATTCTGGGCCCAGTTCCTCCCCCCGCCGACCGCCCCAGGTGACGCCTCCCTCCCCCCCCCCCCCTGATGTCTCCCTTTTTAGGAGCTCCCTCCCCTCAGCACTGACTATGAGAAGGAGCTTCTGAGCAGGTCTGCTCTGAGGCCCCTGGAGGAGCAGGCCTTGCCCAGGTCCTGCAGCAGGCTGGCTCCCCTCCTGTGTGCCCACATCTCCCAGCTCCACCCTCATGGCCTGGGGCCTGGGCTGCGCCCTCCCCTGGGCTTCTGCAAGAGGAGGGTGAGGCGATGAGCTCCCAAGTCCTGCGGGTTCAGACCACCAGGCTTCCGAGAGGCAGACACCCGGGGCCGTCTGTGCGCGGTCAGGTGGCAGTGACCAAACACCCCCGGGAGCTGCAGGCCTGGCTGCCATGTGTGTGCACACTTGTGTGCATGTGTGTGCACAGGGAGTGGGGAGGAGTGTGCCCAGGGACTCATTGCTGCTGGCGTGTGTACAGATTATGTGCAAATGTGAGTGTAAGTGGAGTGTGCAGGTGGTGTGTGTGTTCAGGTGTATGTGCAGATGTGTGAATGCGTCTTTGTGTATATGCACACCCAACTGTGTACCAGGTACATGAAGGGTCCGTGTGTGTGAGCCCAGGTGTGTCTGAGTCAGGTGAGTGAGAGTTGTGAGCTCAGGTGTGTGTGAATGCAGAGATGCAGGAGTGACAGGTGTGTGTGTTTGTGGGCATACGTGTGTGCAAACCAACATGCAGTGCTCGCTGTGCCTGCTCCCCTGGGCGCGGGTGCGGGTGCGGGCAGCGTGGAGCGGCTGTGCCGCTCTGGTGAGCCGGTGCTGGATTTGCCAGCATTAGCCCGGATTTCCAGGGCTTACCACGCAGCCGGCCGCATTACCCTGAGCCGAGCAGAGCCGCTCCTGTGCCAGGCGGGGTTGCTGCTCGGCCAGGCTTGGCCAGGACGGCGGCGGAGGCCGGCGGGATGAGGAGAAGCCGACTGGTAACAGAGGCGGAGGGTCCCAGTGGCCACCCGGTTGGCCTGGGCAGAAGCACAGAGCGGGCAGAACTCCTCGGTGCCCCCACCAGGCCCCTCGGATTCTGTGCCCACCAGGCCTCACAAAAACCAGGAAATTGCACAGCCAGGTCGCTCCTCTCTGTGCCCTTTGCCCACCCCAAGGTGCCCTCTGCCTCCCCCTGGACAGCCCCCTTCCCCTGGAGGGCACTGGCTAGGGAGGCTTCCTCAGAGGACCGGAGCGGAGCGGGGCCTGGCCCGGGGCAGCGGGCATGGGGCGCTCAGACCCTCCGGCTGGGACACGTGTGGATGGGAGAGAGCACTGTGCCTGGTTTTCCTCCTGCCTCTGTGCCAGGCCCATCTCCGTGGGAGGCCCCTGGGTTCAGAGGTGGGAGAGGACCACTGCTTCTCTGATGGGGTCAACATGCCACTGCCTCCCGGGACAGCGCGCGGCTTCACACGGGGCTCCAGAGCGGGGCCGGGCTGTGTTGGCGTGGGAATCCCAGACCCTGGGCACCCACAGGCCCCACTCCTGCTGTGCGCACAGCGCCCACGCCATCCGGGATGGGAGAGGAGCCCAGGGCCATGCTGGGAGGGCCGGGCCAGCAGATGGGCGCCGCTGTGCCTGCTTTACGCCCCTCCTTGTGTTTTGTTTGCAGAAAGGCTGTGGGCCGGGACGCCCCAGCTGTGCTCAGGCCTGGCTCCAGTTTCCAGTGCCCAGAGCAAAATGAGAACGAGGGGCCCTCATCCAAAACTTATTAGATTCAAGACGGCGGGCAGCAGGCACTGACCCAGCACCGGCGCCGTGTGGCTGCCGGGCCACCTGCCGTGTTGCCGGCTCCGCTCCTGTTGGAGGGCTCAGCAGCCACACGGGTCAGGGGGAGTGGGATCTGGAGCCTAGACTGGCCACCACCGGTCTGTGCCCACTGCAGGGCTCAGTCTGCCCAGAGAGGGGCCTCTACCCTGGCCACCAACTCCTATGGGCCCACTGTACCCCCATAACAAGGTGGGGGCAAAGGGCCTAAGATGGATGTCTGACCTAGAACCCCATTCCTGTTCCCGAGAAGCCCCAGTGTGAAAGGTGAGACAGCCCTCCCTCATGGAACCCCATGTAATGAGGAAGACACACCCTGCCCCCAGGGCACCCCAGGGCACCCCACCCCCAGGGCATCCCACCCCCAGGGCACCCCATCCCCAGGGCACCCCATCCCCAGGCACCCCATCCCCAGGGCACCCCGTCCCCAAGGCACCCCACCCCCAGGGCACCCCATTCCCAGGCACCCCATCCCCAGGGCACCCTGTCCCCAAGGCACCCCACCCCCAGGGCACCCCATCCCAGGGCACCCCAGGGCACCCCACCCCCAGGGCACCCTACCCCCAGGGCACCCCATCCCAGGGCACCCCATCCCCAGGCACCCCATCCCCAGGGCACCCCGTCCCCAAGGCACCCCACCCCCAGGGCACCCCATCTCCAGGGCACCCACCCCTAGAGCACCCCATCTCCAGGGCATCCCATCCCCAGGGCACCCCATCTCCTGGGCACCCCATCCTAGGGCACCCCATCCCCAGGGCACCCCACCCCTGGGCACCCCATCCTAGGGCACCCCATCCCCAGGCACCCCATCCCAGGGCACCCCATCCCAGGGCACCCCACCCCCAGGGCACCCCATCCCAGGGCACCCCATCCCCAGGGCACCCCACCACCAGGGCACCCCATCCCAGGGCACCCCACCACCAGGGCACCCCAGTCCAGTGGGGAAGAGAGGCCTGTTGTTGACTGCCTGGACCTCCCTTGTTCCTCGAAGGAGCTCTTGTGATCCTCTGGAGCCCGTCCCCTCCTCCCCGCGGCCACTAGTCCCCTCCCCCGGGCTTGTCACGGCCTCCCCACCCCACGTGGGAGACCGCTCTGTGTGTGTGTGTGTGTGTGAGAGTGTGTGGTGAGTGTGTGTGTGTGTGAGAGTGTGGGTGTGTGAGTGTGTGTGTGTG